ACCCGACTTATTGTGTTTCAGTTGTTCACGTATCAGGATCTCAACATTCTTTGAGAGTGTTCTTCTTATCCTGTCTACGAGTTGTTGTTTTTTGTTGTTGTTTTTTGTTGTCTTACGACACTTAACTGTGTTACTGTATTAAGTATTGTACCACTGTTAAGTTCCAGCTTCCTGGTAAATATCCTACGGTTGTGATCTATAGACAAGGGAGTTGCGCCCCACCATCCAACCGTGGGATAAAATGCATAGTGTGAGATAGGATAAGTTTAAAAATTTGAAAATTTTATTATAAATTGTATATTTATATACTTATCCTATCTCACACGTTATATGCCCACCCGTCCATCCCCACATCGCAATTCCTTAGTCTATATGCTCTTGAAAGAGAATGAGTTGACTGGGATAGACACGTGATCAGTGCAAGAAGGTCAACCAGCATGCATAGCGCGCATGACCCAGATCTGGGAGGTGACCGTGACGATGTGAGGTATGACAGGGTTAATTAACTTTAGAAGCTGGAAACTTTTATTTCAGATACGTTTCCACTCAGAATCGAAAGAAGAAAAAGAGATGCATAGTGTGAGATAGGATAAGTATATAAATATACAATTTATAATAAAATTTTCAATCTTTTACGGCCGAGACCTTTCTGTGGGTTTAAACGAGTTGAATGCATTGAATACATTCCACACAAACTATCTGTACCTTTCAATGTCTAATAATATGTTGTTTGGGCTAGATGTATTCTAGATGTGTTCTGTGGATATGTTTGAAAATAGGACATTCGTCAAAACGAAAGTTATTTGTGAATTTACTGAGCGGTTATTGAACCAGCTTGAACGCTGAAGTGTAGCACGGAGTCGATGGCAATGGCCCGGTCCTACTTCAGAATGAACGCTTTGCTGGCATACCTGCAGGTAAGTTGTGCATCTTTCAAAAATGTGAACATGGAAAAATGGACAGACATTTGAACAGTCCCATCACAGTTAACTCGAGGATGGACAGACAGGTTATTACGCATAGACACGAATGAGTACCCCACTCGACACAGTATACTGACTCCGAGCCGACCTGTCCTTGTTTTAGCCCTTTAATGCCGAGCGCCAGACAGGGTAACAACAAGTACCACCGTTTAACGTCTATTGGTATGACGCGGCCGGGGATCGAACACCGGACCTTCCGCTGTCCGGGCGGACGCTCCAACACTAGACCGCGGAGACGGTCACTTGTTTAGAAACACCGACAGTGTGTAGAATGACGGCTGGCTGGTATGTTGCGGCTGTTGGTTTGTCGGCCGCGTCATACTGAAAGACGTTAAAATATGGTACTTGTTGTTACCCTGCCTGACGCTCTGCATTAAGGTGATAAAGGGACTGGTCAGCTCGGAGTCAGTATCCTTGTTAAATTGGGGTAATTTGGTATGACGCGGCCGGGGTCGAACACCGGACCTTCCTTTCTCCGCACTAGACCAAAGAGGCGGTACCGATAAACGTGAATGGACGGACATATAAAAATCATATGGACAGATAGTCAGCAGACAGCTCAACAGTCAAGTCAATAGACCGATAAAACGTGAATGGACGGACATCTAACAATCACATGGACAGATAGTCGGCAGACAGCTCAACGGACAGACAAATGTAGAAACGGTTGAACTGACAATTAGACGAGATGCGTTCACAGAGCTAGAAATGCTTCTTACTCGAGTGCATAACCCGCCATTCCCGTGATCTATCAGGGAAATTACAGATAATTGCTGTAATAATGCTACTTATCTCATTCCTCCCACAATGTAGTTTTACTCCGTGACATCTGTATATGACGTCACCTGTCAAACTTGTATGGCATTAATGCGAAGATGGATACCCTTAATGTCCGAAAATATTAGTTTTGAATTTGAAACATTCTGATATATATCAATTTTTATTGTCACGTTTGATCGATACATGGATAACCTTTCGGGGGACAGGTCGGTCACATGACCTCGAAACTGACTTTCATCAATCGCATTAAAATCAGATCTTAGTTCTCGCTAACGCTAAACTAAGATCTTAGGACGTCCCATTACGTGTCACGTCAGACCGACCTTTCGCGAACTTTGACCGACCAATGGAATGACGGCAAGAGGTCGACATTAGCCAATCAGAAGGCAGCTTTCTCGTGCTTTACGGCACTAATTTCAAATTTGCGACTACGCTTCGAAACATATTTTGACAAATTCTCGAAATTTGAAAACCTAAACAAAAGAACATTCTGGAATGGCTAATAGATGGTGTAGATTGACTTGATTCAGTTGTTAAACCCGTCACTATCGTTGGGAATACCCCATGTTTAAGTTTTCGAGGTTGCATGATAAGAAATCACAATCCAACTGTCACTTTCATGATCTGGTAAGCGACGCTCTGATCGGTCGGATAAAAGGTCGTTCTGACGTGACCCCTAATGGGATGTCCTGAGATATTTGTTTAGCGGTAGCGAGAACAAGGATCTGATTTTAATAAGATTGGACTTCATATGCGTATGAACAATACATTTTGATGTTTTCTTTCGAGAAATCACGTAAACAGTAATGGACGACTTCCACATTCCTGGGGAATTCCCAAGGAATGTTCTAGGATATGTGAGGTGGTGAGGTGAAATTGGGTTTAACGTCGCGTCCAAGATTATTGCACTTATATAGCGACGTGCATGCACGTGTGTGTGTGTGGCTGCTTGTACTAGTCCGGACTGATACCGATTTATAGTGCTAGCTCACTGAGATACCATGCCGCAGTTTAACATGAATACCCCACTCAGACACAGTATACTGACTCCGAGCCGACTAGTCCTTGTTTTAGCCCCTTAATGTCGAGCGCCAGACAGGGTAGCAACAAGTACCATCTTTTAACGTCTTTTGATCGAACCCCGGACCTTCCGCTCTCCGGGCGGACGCTGTACCACAAGACCACGGACTAGGATATGTGAACACAGAACCGTTGAATATAACTATTTAGATACTTTAATTTTGTACTGAGGTATTTTACATCCCCATGGCAACACACCACGCGGTGATTCATCCTCGTTAACTCAGGAATGCACATTCGACTCAATGTCTACTCTGACAGTCAAGGACATTCTGTAAAAAATGTCTTCGAAACACCTTTTCAACACATAAATGGTCACCGTTAAATGGTCAGACAGTTCATCAATAAGGTATCACTCCAAACTGTCACTCGTTGTGTCAGACGTTTTCGGAAGTTCATACTCGCAAGCTCCGACGTTCATACAATTTGGCCCTCACTCTGTGGAGGTTCATACTCGCAAGCTCCGACGTTCATACAGTTTGGCCCTCATTCTGTGAAGGTTCATACTCGCAAGATCCGACGTTCATACAGTTTGTCCCTCACTCTGTGCAGGTTCATACTCGCAAGCTCCGACGTTCATACAGTTTGGTCCTCATTCTGTGAAGGTTCATACTCGCAAGCTTCGACGTTTATACAGTTTGACCCTCATTCTGTGAAGGTCCATGCTCGCAAGCTCCGACGTTCATACAGTTTGGCCCTCACTCTGTGAAGGTTCATACTCGCAAGCTCCGACGTTCATAGTTTGGCCCTCAATCTGTGCAGGTTCATACTCGCAAGCTCCGACGTTCATACAGTTTGGCCCTCACTCTGTGAAGGTTCATACTCGCAAGCTCCGACGTTCATAGTTTGGCCCTCAATCTGTGGAGGTTCATACTCGCAAGCTCCGACGTTCATACAGTTTGGCCCTCATTCTGTGAAGGTTCATACTCGCAAGCTCCGACGTTCATACAGTTTGGTCCTCACTCTGTGAAGGTTCATACTCGCAAGCTCCGACGTTCATACAGTTTGGCCCTCACTCTGTGAAGGTTCATACTCGCCAGCTCCGACGTTCATAGTTTGGCCCTCAATCTGTGGAGGTTCATACTCGCAAGCTCCGACGTTCATACAGTTTGGCCCTCATCCTGTAAAAGTTCTTACTCGCAAGATCCGACGTTCATACAGTTTGTCCCTCGCTCTGTGCAGGTTCATACTCGCAAGCTCCGACGTTCATAGTTTGGCCCTCACTCTGTGAAGGTTCATACTCGCAAGCTCCGACGTTCATACAGTTTGGCCCTCACTCTGTGAAGGTTCATACTCGCCAGCTCCGACGTTCATAGTTTGGCCCTCAATCTGTGGAGGTTCATACTCGCAAGCTCCGACGTTCATACAGTTTGGCCCTCATCCTGTAAAAGTTCTTACTCGCAAGATCCGACGTTCATACAGTTTGTCCCTCGCTCTGTGCAGGTTCATACTCGCAAGCTCCGACGTTCATAGTTTGGCCCTCATTCTGTGAAGGTTCATACTCGCAAGCTCCGACGTTCATACAGTTTGGTCCTCACTCTGTGAAGGTTCATACTCGCAAGCTCCGACGTTCATACAGTTTGGCCCTCATTCTGTGAAGGTCCATGCTCGCAAGCTCCGACGTTCATACAGTTTGGCCCTTATTCTGTGAAGGTTCATACTCGCAAGCTCCGACGTTCATACAGTTTGACCCTCTTTATTAAGGTTCATACCCGCCAAACAAAGACGACCAAGAGTTGTTATTTTATGCAAATCACGCAATCGTTACTCACAAAGACTTCAATACACATTCCACACGTTCCCAACGTTCAGTGTGAAGATAACCCCACTGCGCATGTGCCGACCCGTCAAGAGGAGGTTTAGCGTAGCAACGGCTGGCGTTATCTTAGTCTACAGGCTCAGGCTGAAATGTGTATCGATCGGTAACAATGGGTACTCAGTATGGCCATCTTAGGATGACAACACACCTGTCACGTTTCACAATCATTTTTTCATTTGCTACTGCTTCTACTTTTGCTGCCACTATTGGGTATGGGTTGAGGTCAGATAAAGGTCAAGGACGACATTTTGGGGGGAAGCGTGTCAGGGTCGGGTCAAGGTTAGTGAGACACGTGGAACCTATTTTTTTTAGCTAATAACTGCTTTTATTTAATACAGATGATAAGGTAAACAAACGGTTGCCCAACACAAGCGGCGTCTACCGATCTATGAGCGTGACCCCCGGGCAGTTAAAGCATGGGGTGCGGCTGGCTGCGATCCCTACTCTACCTCACCCTCGGGGCTCTGCACCTCCCGTTTGCCGTCGCCACGACATCTGCAGTCGGTGAGTACAAAGTTATCCATCACCGTGTACGTCTATTGGTAAATATTGACAGTATGGTAAACGTCATGGGATATTGTGTTATTGTCGCTCCTTGGAGGGACGAGCAGTGAATATGCGCAAGTCTTGTATGGAATGGCGGATATATAATAATGATTGATTCCACAGGGATTGTCAGCATGGAACGGATCAAATATAGTGTTAGTGGACTTATTGAGTTGGTGCCAGGGCATTGTTGAATGGTACTTTACGATGGTACAATACCAAATATTCCGATCATGCTGTAATGAACTACACACACAACACACACACAGACATACCGATACACACAGACAGATACCCCCACCCCCCAACCCCCACATACACTACACATATTGACATACCGATACACACAGACACATACCCCCCTCACACACACACACACACACACACAAGCACACAAACACGCACACAAACACAAACAACACACACTACACACACATACATACAGATACAAACAGACACATACACACACACCACACACACAGAGAAACAAACACAACACACCCATACACCCACACACACAACACACATACAGCATACACACGACACACAGACAGAACAATACACACTCACAACACACACACAACACACAGAGACAGACATATATTACCCAGACACAACACACACACACATACACACACACACACACACATACTCACAGACATCCCCAGGCAGCCAACCCCAAATCAACACACACACACACACACACACACACACACACACACACACACAGAAACCAACACAACACACCAATACACTCACACACACACAACACACAGACAGAACAACACACAGCACACAGAGACAGACATATCACACACACAACACACATACAGCATACACACGACACACAGACAGAACAATACACACTCACAACACACACACAACACACAGAGACAGACATATATTACCCAGACACAACACACACACACACACACACACACACACACACACACACACACACACACACACACACACACACACACACACACACACACACACACACACACACACACACACCACCCCCTACACACACACCAAAACCAACCCCACCAACTGTCACTAAATTCAGCCTTGTACCAATGCTTCGAAGTTCGTAACCACCGTTATAATTCAATGTGTCAATTTGAATCTCATCAAAATATGTATCAATAAAATACTGCTTTTCTACCGCCCCCTATTGTGCAGGCCATGTCATCGTGCACGAGCATTTACATATAGACACAGTAGATCACACCAACGTGCACTGCGCTATGCGTGTGCTGCCGTATAATTATTTATAGATTCTGAAGACATCAGCTCATTAACAATCTGCTTGTATTTGTTTAATAAATACTAATCCTTTGCATTACGTATCGTTTCGTGAACACTCTGTTTGTTTTCAATAATATCTTTTGTTGCAGGTGAGAGTGTGGTGGATATTGATGTTAATATTCATTTCAGTTGGTATAGTAGGGATTGCATGTAATAAGAGAACTATCTCCTACGGGACAGTTATATTAATTTTGGTCATGATCTTTTTTACTTTGATCGCCTTAAGATTATTTTTATCTGTAAACTGAAACTGACAAGAAACTGACAAGAATTCCAAGGTCTTTCCGATCAAATTTTAAACAAGTAAAACTATCGCAACTATAGGTCATTATATTTTCATTATAGAGACATTACATATACAAGATAACATGGTTAAAGTCCGAGAATTCACTCAGATCGGTTCTCGGGAGCAGAATCAATAGAGTCACATTTCCATTGCTTATTCACCCTCTAGCTCACAAAGCATAGAAGAATTAGAAGAAAATCAGGCGAAATACTGAAGCTGTTAATCCCGTGTCACCTTTTGTACGGCTTTCAGCCTAATACAATCTGTGATCGTATTTCCAAGACTGGAACCATCTCCGAAGTGTGCCCGTTATTGTAAATAAAAGCGACAAAACCCTTTCCATATTCATAAGAATTCTCTGCTAAAAGCACACTCAGATCCAAACACGACCTCGTCGTTTGGTTTGAAAATGTAAAAAACTTCGAGCCAGGTTTAACATTTTTAACCAGAACTCAGGAGGGCTCTTTTTTTTTTAATTGGGTAGACACACGACACCAGACAATCTGTAGTTGACTATTTGTCGTGCTAACCTCCATCGCTTACCTAATGTAACATTATACCAGGTATTCTCATCGTGTTCTAATAGATTTTGGCGTAGTTAATCTAAATAGTCCATATTTAGCAGGTGTAATTACTTTGCCAAATTGAAGTGAATACGTTTCAGAAAGCCGGAGTAAAATGTATCTTACTACTGGTATATGTGAGGCAAACAGGTCACTTTACAATATTGATTTAGACAATAGTGCATCCTTGAACATGCTTTTGATTGTCAGTTGTCTGTAGACTGTCAGAGTCCGGCGAGTGAGTGAGTGAGTTGTGCTAAACGCAATTGTTTGGACAATACACCATGTGCATATTTGTGCGTTTTGTAGTGAACATATTTATATTCTAAACATGTTTAGATTATGGGGGTGTTGTGTTAAGGTGGTATTTAGGCTGTGAGACGATCGCTCATTTCATGTGTTTAGACCCTAAACATGTTTAGATAGACCACACCAAATGTGTATCCTGTTTATGATTTAAGGTGAGGTGAAATGGGGTTTAACAATTATTGCACTTATATAGCGACGTGCATGCACGAGCGTGTGTGGCTGCTTGTACTAGTCCGGACTGATGCCGATTTATAGTGCAAGCTCACTGAGATACCATGCCGCAGTTTAACACGAATAACCCACTCAGACACAGTATACTGACTCCGAGCCGACCAGTCCTTGTTTTAGCCATTTAATGCCGAGTGCCAGACAGGGTAACAACAAGTACCATTTTTTAATGTATTTTGGTATGACGCGCCCGGGGATCGAACCCCGGACCTTCCGCTCTCCCGGCGGACGCTCTACCACTAGACCGCGGAGGCGGTCTGTTTATGATTTAAACACATTCCTAATTATTTTTATATATGAAGTATCATGCTTATGTTCTTTCCTGTATAAAATATGAACCCTTACATTCATTGTTAAAGGGGCGGTGGCTTAGCCTTATGGTTAAAGCGCTCGCTCGTCACGGCGAAGGCCCTGGTTCGATTCCTCTCATGGGTACAATGTGTGAAGCCCATTTCTGGTACCCCGCCTTGATATTGCTGGACTATTGCTAAAAGCCTACTCACACACTCATTGTTACAACTCGAGATTACTTCCACGAGACCCGTGAAGATTCCGGGGTAGAATAGGTCTTCAGCAACCCATGCTTGCCGTAAAAGGCGACTATGCTTGTCGTAAAAGGCGACTAACGGAATCGGATGGTCAGGCTCGCTGACTTGATTGATGCATGTACAAAAAACCTCCACGAAACCACTAAGCCACACTCTGGGGCGGCAGGGTAGCCCAGTGGTTACAGTGCTCGCCTGGGTTCCATCCCACAAGGGTACATTGTGTGAAGCCCATTAAAGGTTTTTCCTGCCGTGACATTGCTGAAATGTTGCTGAAACATTGCTGGAGTATTGCGGAAAGCGGCACAAAAACCAAGTCACGTCTGAAAGCTGAAATGAACATCTGATAGTGGGTTTGAATCCCAGATTGTTCCGATTATGATCACTGGTCTGTCAGCACCATGCTGTGCTAGTTATTTAAACAAAGGGATAACGTCTACGCCCTGCTTCACTTGGACTCTAATCCCCACAAACACCCCCCCCCCCCCCCCCCCCCACACACAGACACACACACACACACACACACACACACACACACACACAAACACACACACACAAACACACACACACAAACACACACACACAAACACACACACACAAACACACACACACACTCCTCGCAAGGGTGATCGTTATATAACTGAGATAATGTTCAATAGGACGGCACAAGGCAATGTACATCATTATCCAAAGTAAAAAAGTAACTGTTGAACCAAAACAAAAACTAACCCAAGAAGACCTTCAATTCCCATTTAAGGATATAAACGGGACAATATTGGGTTGTAGAAACACAATACTCATACCTTCTGATCTTCAGTAAATATTAGCAACAAATATCGATTCCATAAACAAAACATATCTCTACTAAAAGCACGCTCAAGGTGAACCAGATCCAAAAGCAAGCACCATCTTTTAAAACATAACCTCGCTATCCGTTGTTTTGTTAATGGTGTTTGTCAGTGTAAGTGGAACGTGTTAAAACTCTCAAAGGAATCATTAAGTAGTTTGGACACACAGGAACTAAGTGGTGTGCTGACGACAGATTCAGTTAATTCGTTACGTACATTTTCTCTGTGTTCACTGAGAGCATGTATGCTCATTTGGATATAGTCAAGCCTAAATGGACGTAGGTGTTTACATAGACGACAGACAGGGACGACCAAGAGTGTTGCCGAGGTTATGGACAATAAGTAGCTGTTATAATTGTGTCCATGAAGCGTGCATAGCGGATTTAAACAAAGTGTGCACACCGTTTTAACTCCATAAACGTTAAAACATATTGAAGTCAATTTTTATAAATATATACATCAACAATAACAATTTCACAGACTGCTTATTTAATCATTAGCACACAAAAAACTGTAGACGACAATACGTAGTCAGCGACATCGTTTAGCGCACTAATACAAAACAAGCCCCGCCCATTTTATTGTCAACCAAACAAGAAACAGTAGTCCGTTCGAGGGCGCAAGAACAATTTCTTGGTTAGCCAATCAAGTGCCACAGAATCTATCTATTTATTATGTAGTTGTTGAAGATAAGATAAGTGTAGTAGCTAGTAGATGCAGTAGTTGTTGTTGTAGATGAAGTTGTAGTTGTTGTAGTGGTTGAAGTTGTTAGTGTAGTGACTGTAATTGTTGTAGGGGTAGTAGTAGTAGTAGCAGTAGTAGTAGTAGACCCTTAGTAGTAGGTAGTAGTAGCAGTAGTAGTAGTAGG